CACCTGCACGCACCCTTTAAAATATGCATCATCACTACCAGCACGACGCACCAGTGGTACAGTAAACGACATGGTTTGTTTCCTTACCAATGTGCGGAGCGTGAAAACAGTTGTGCCCAAATCGGTCGTCTCTGTTCCAGAAATCCCCTTGCCAACGATGGACACAAGAACCTCGTCTCGCTCGGGAAGAAGATCGTGGAATGTGACGGGATCATTAAAATAGGCCGTTTCATCCTCGCCAACACGCACAGTGCTGCTTTTGTAATAATGTAATCCCGCATGAATCACGGCGTACACCGTCTGGCGTTTGAAAATGTTGCGATAAGACGCCGAATGTCTCCCTTCTTCATTTCCGTCTTTGTCTTCAGTCTCGGATGCGCCCATAGAAGCGGCGGCCGCGGGACTGTCCCACATGGGGACTGACGGCTCCCACCGCTTCACTGAGACTCGAACATCACACCGTGGTGGACACGGGCCAAGGGTCTTTATGTAATGATCCACATCGCACAGCGATGAACTGATCACATCGAGCCTGTGGATAACATGACGAGCGTATTTCCAAAGAACCAAACGGAGGCAAGCTGTGCGGGCGGCCTCCCCTAACGGATCAAAAGAACCGCCCCCACCGTCCCGGTGAGAAGAATGCTGATTCATATCGCCAGAAAGCGCAATGGTGACGACGCCACTCGGCATCGCCTTCTTCGTACCAGCCGCACGAAAGAGTGTATGCGTGCGCACACCCCCAAATCTTTCTGGGCTGGCAGAGATGAGTACTTTCCCCACAATGAACCCCCCGACAGCCACCGTGAGACGAATGGCTTCCGCCACACCGACCAGAAGCTGGAACGATTCCTTGAATACGGCCACCTGTTGTAACGGCACGGTCCGCGAGCAATGCCGCACGCTGTTCGCCTCCACCCACACCTGACATGCCGGCCCGTTGAGAAACGGAACCCCTTTTTCAGTTATCAGTCCCTGTACATCAAACACAGTGAGGACAACCATGTCGCGATGTTCCCTTTTTTTGTAGCGCGCCAATAAAAGGTCGACTTCACTGGGGGACTTGTCGCAGCAGTAACCGACAATCCACTCAAGTCGATGAAGATGCCGCCGTCCAAATGTCATTAATACATGACGAATACGTTTTCGTAATGATTCCTCCGCTTCTTCTGAAAACGGCGTGGCGGACGCCTGGGCATTCAATCCACCACCGCGCAGGGTGAGACACACTTCCCCACAAACGCAGGCATCGCTTTTTCCAGAATTTCTCACCAATGCCACCCACCGTGTTTGAGGCTCCGACTCCCGTATGTTTCGTAGAGACATGACAGCCTTCCCGAGGCGTTTCATCCGCCCAGAAGACGTTCGCACGACAACTATCAGTGTCATCGCGTCCCCCTGCGGCCCCTCAAAGAGCAGACGCTCATGCTGAAATAAAGAATTTTCTTTAAAAGTCACCCGTGCCGTTTGTGCAGACTTCGCCGACGTGCGAAAAATAAAAAAGATAACGCGATTTTTCGCCATGCTCCATGTCAGGAAGTTTCGATAAGATACAATCTCTACTTGAAGAAAATCACGTTGCGGTGGTGATAATCTTTGTTTTGAACCGTCTTGAAAAACAAAGTACTCCTTGCTTGGTGACAATTCCGTCTGCGCATGCGGTGTCGTCCTCCATCCGTCCTGTTTCTCCACCTCTTCCGTTGGAGTCACCAAAGAATTCCAATCGGTGGTGATGGCAGGTGTCAGATGGGATTTGTGTGTCTCCGCGTCAGACACCTGCGGATGTCTCACAGGAGATGCAGATTGAAATGAAGTTCCCGCTCCACTCGAGTCTCTGTCAAATATCCCTTCAAGCTCCTCCACTGACCCATTCAAAGAAGTCGGGTGGCTCATACAGTCAGCACTATCTTGGGTAAAAACACACGAAGTGACATCTTCTAATGTTTCAACCTCAACAAAACTTGCTGCTTCTTCCTCATCGTCATGATTTGGATTCTCCGTCCTCTCTTCCCCATACATGTGTGGTGCCTGGGACGGCCGCATACCGATTGATGTAGACTGTGTGTCCTCACAGATTTGACGCACCCACGCCATTCGGGTAATGTGCTCTTGAATCATCGCCAACTCCAGTCGTTGATTCGACTTGTCTTTTGAGTCCACACACACGATATGATGCACCTGCACGCAATTATCCCCCGCGTTACTTGTGGCAATGTACCCAAAGGCATAAACAATCTCTCTCTCATATCCCTCACAATGGGGGCGGTAATTGCAATGAATAGCGTTCTCTATATACACCATTGCTGTATAATTGAACGCCGACAACAATTTTGTACTTCCCCGTTCCATATCCGGTTGCAAAAGTATTGAGTTAACGAGAACACAGTAATCACGTAAAGAGCTGTACGTGGCAAGTCGCTTATATCGCAAATAGAACACCTCTCCCTCAGGCTGAGTACTAATCTTCATTGAGCTCTCTAAGAAGGGGTCATAACGATGTGTCTGCAAAGGATCTCCAACAAAAGAGAAAAAATTAGCCAGTGAACACGCAATAAATGTGGAAATACGGTATGCCTTTAGAAAAGGTGGTGCTGCAATAAACAAATTTGCGTCACATTCTTCCACGTCGCATCCTTCCTGCCGTCCTCGGTACCGCCACATTTTCCCAGCATGCAACTTAAGAAGAGGGCAAAGCACGCGGAGTTGCGCCGTTGTGGGAGGACCAAAAACAAATGGCTCGTTTTGGACGAGACCCAAGGGATTTCTTTGCTCCGGCGACCCAACGCCCCCGAAAGCCTTCACCCCGCTCCGTTTTCTCTGCATAAGCGCTAGTTTCCCCCGTGACATCATCTCTTGTAGCATTTCACAGAAGCTTCGTATCCGTGGGATCTTCTTCTCGCAACTTTCCATGACTGCGGCAACGTGTTTGTTTGGGGCATTGACAAAAGTCAGGTGCACACACGGCCCAGGCATCTCATAGGCGATGAAGGCGGAGAGATATACCCACCCCCGTATATTATTAGAAGATACGTGTACGCTCCCCTCATCTTGGACGCTGTGAATGGCATACACGTACACCTTCGAGGACAATGAGAGAGACGTCCCATTGTTTGAATTGACATTATTATTTTCAGATATCTTTTTATCATGAGAAATACCCACAGCATGGGCACAAAAACGCTGTAAGGCCTCATTGGTACCTACCGCTTCTGGGATGTGGTACATCTTGGATGCATGCCGTGTAATGACCTCCACCGGAGGACGATGACGGTACACGGTGCGTACCAGCACGGCATCACCCTTTTCATTAATTACATCATTCGATACCACACCATCATCGTGGTATTGTGCGTTTTTCGGCGTGCTGATAAATGCCACAAAAGTCTCCAAAGTGCAACGTAGGATCCCTTCCACCTTCGTCACGGTACAACAAATACTTTTGCAATCCGTCTCTCCGTAAGCGGCCGCGGGAAATTTGTGTGTCGTTTTTTGAACACCCCAGCGGCAAAAACCATTTGTAGCATGACGTATCGGAGAAGACTGCTGACTTCCCTCTACACATAACAAAAGTGCTTCTCTCAGAGCCCAATCGTCATCCATTTTTTTCATCGCACTCACCTATAATTATATACATATATATATATATATAATGAATAAAGAGAGAAGGAGGCAAGCATTCTACCCCATGTACACATGCGCAAAGGGCACAGTGAAAGCAAAAATAAACGCGGACACTCCCATAGCAACTCTATCACCAGAGACACACACACCAAAAAAAAATAAAATAAAAATGGCATGGAACACCCCAACGCTGAATCAATTCTTATGGTTTGCTCCTTGGTTTTCCTGCAAATCGTGCGTAGTTTGCGTATGACTGTCCTACTTTTGATGCGACTCGCGTCCATGAAAGTGGCACGTGCTGTTGCCGCTCCTCTTCCCGCAACAATCCTGCATGAATCCCCTTTTCTTCCAAACTCATCTCTTCAAAGAAGGTGGGAGAATCGAAGTTTGGAATGGTCGGCTCCCATTCCTTCTTTCGCCGCCCATCGCCGCCTGCGGTTGCTGCTGCTGCCGTCGTCTTCGTCTTTCCGCCTGAATGCGCCCCCTGCTGCGGCTGCTGACGGAGTCGTCGCTCATGTCGTAGGACGTACTGAATGCGCTGCTTGAACTGCGCATTATGAAGCCGCCGCTCCACAAATGTGGGGGACTTCCCGAGGGTCCGGGCGACCTGTCGGACCGTCGCTCCGCCACGCAGCATGCGATAAATGGCGGTGTCGTCCTCGAAGGTGAAGAACTTGCTGTGACTAAACGGGTGGTTTGCGGGATTCCGCAGCTCCTCGTCACTCACGCTGTTGAGGCCAAACGTGGAGTTCATCCACGTCTCCCACTCCAGCGTGGACTTCATGCTCCACGTGTCGCCATCCGCAAAGTCATCCGGCACGCGACGCCGCCGCAGCTTCGCCTTGGCCGCAAACCGCGTCTCCCCCGTGCCGCCACCCTCACGCTTCTCCTCCGCACTCTGCTCGGACCTCCTCTTGCTGAGGGGCGCATTAAGCACACCGCTTCTCTGCAGCATCTCGTACGCCGTGTTGACAACTTTCATTTTTTGGTCGTCGCCACTACTCAAATCGGGGTGATGCAGCCTCGCGAGGTGCAAATACTGCGCCCGCACCCGCTCGCTGGTGGCGTGCTGCGGGTTGCCGGCGTCAAGTCCCAACACACGGAAGGCGGCAGCGATGTCGGCCGATGTGGGGGCCGCCGCCGCCCCCGCCGCACAAAACCGGCGACAGGCGCGTAACATAACACCGCCACGACTCTCCCGCGCTCCGCCGTCCTTTTCTCTTTTTGTTTCACACTTCTCCCCAAAACGTGCGGCAGACCAGATACGAGAAGAAACAAGACAGGAATAATGAATGCATGCAAACGAGCAGGAAGAGAGAGAGAGAGAGACGACAAACAAAAGCAAAAGCAACACACAAACACAGAGAGAGAGAGAGAGACAAAATTATTGTATATCTCTAAAGAAGAGAAGAAAAAAAAAAAAAAAAAGAGTAAACGCCGCAAGAACACAACCTCCACATCCCTCCTTTCCCCACCCCCCACAATTCCTCGGTTCAGATCCCCTCCTCTCCTCCCAAACAACAACACCAAAAAAAAAAAAAAAAAACAACCGACACCGAGACCGGACGAGAGGAAAGCAAAAAAAGGCAAAAAAAAAAAAAAATGATACCTCAAACCAAAAGGAAAATAAATTCATAAATCAACCAAAAATGAAAAAAAAAAACAACAACAACCAAAAACAAGACAAAAAAAAAAGTGGGAAACAACACACGGAAAGAAAACAAAACATTTTTTTTTTTTTTTTTTTACTGGAGACACACACAGACACACCGATAGGCACACAAATGCAAAATTTCAACCATCTTCCATCGCCGCACGATCTTTCCCCAAAATATATGCGTGTGTGTTTGTGTGTGTATCCACACGGCACATGGGATCGGTTTTTCCTATTCTCCGCCGCAACCCATGAGCACTCCCGCCTCCCTCCCCCCAACAATGACGCATTCCGCAATTTCCCCCCTTCCCCCTTCTAACCTCAAAAACAGAAAAAAAAAAACAAAAAAAAAAAAAACACGCCTTCAGATACATAACGAATTATCCGTATCGCCCCCTTCTTCATCTAGCCCACAGAAACCTTCACAACCACGCACACGGACATGTACATATAAAGAGACCAAACAAACAGAACAAAAACAAAAACAAAAACAAAAAAAAAAGATGAAGAGACACTCATCTACCCCCATGCGCACGCAGACACACAAATGCATGTGTATGCGCCTTTCTTCATCATGCATGCATGCATTTAAAAAAAAAAAAAAAAAAGAAAAAAAAGAATTAAAAGAAGAAGGAAAAGAAAAAGAGATACAAATAGAGAGAGAGAGAGAGAGAGAAAAAAAAAATAATAATAATAATTTAAAACAAATTAAATAAACAAACAAACAAACAAACAAATGATGAAGAAGCAAAGAGAAGAAAAAAAAAAAAAAAGCAAAAAAGCACGCAGAGTTATCTAAAAATTTTTATATAAAATAAAAAAAAAAACAGAGTTTTTCCCTTTTGGTTTTATTTTGTTTTGTTTCCCTTTTGTCTTTCTTTTCCGTCTCAAAGGTTGATTCAAGTCGTCCATCCACCCACAAAGACAATGGACAGGCGCACACACACAAAGAGAGGGAGAGAGAGAGGGGGAGGGTGAATGATTGGGTCGTTAAATTAATCCCCTTCACAAGAAGAAGAAAAAAAAGTACAAAAACAAAGAAAAGAAAAGAAAAAAAGGGGGATGAGAAAAATCATGAGGAAAAAGAAGAGAAGTGAAGGGGTGAGGGCTGGCTGAAAGGAAAGTCACATATATAACTGTATATATATATACAAAAAACGATGCATGCATCTAAAAGCCCATCATTACGCATGCACACGTCCCCACATGCAATTTATAATAACACACACACACACACACACACAGTCACACAGTCACACAGTCACACAGTCACACTGTCACACTGTCACACAGTCACACTGTCACACTGTCACACAGTCACACTGTCACACAGTCACACTGTCACACAGTCACACTGTCACACTGTCACACAGTCACACTGTCACACAGTCACACTGTCACACAGTCACACTGTCACACTGTCACACAGTCACACAGTCACACTGTCACACTGTCACACAGTCACACAGTCACACAGTCACAAGTGCGTGTTGGTCCAATGACTCTCCTTCTCTAATCCCCTCCGTCCCGCTGCCTGGTCGCAGTTCATACGTGACCAAAAACAAACCAACAAAATCAAAATCAAAAGAAAGCGAGCACCACAGACGGAAGGAAACCAAAAAAAAAAAAAAAAGAAAAGAAAATGAGAAACGAAACCAAAGTCAAAACAAAACAGAACAAAAAAAAAAAAAAGAAAAATCCTTTTAGAAAGCAAAGAAACAAGCGCACAGAGAAAAAACGATTGATGGGTGAATGTAATTTATTTTACGTCTTTAGCGACGGTGAGTCTTCTTCTGTACATTTTCATTCTTCTTCACGCAGCAGCGGATTCCTCACAATTTACATGTAAAATGCAGTAATTTTGACTATGCCCGCTTTCAAATGGGAAGAGAGGAGGAAAAGGAGAAGAGGAGAAAAAAAAAAAAAAGAAAAAAAAAAGGGAGGGGAAAAGAAGGGAGAGCGCAATTGGTGGAATTTGATGAGAATTGAGATCACCAAACATCCCTTCCTCTCCTCTCTCTCTTGTGCCCTCCCTGTTGTTGTTGTTGTTGTTTATTTATTTATTTGTTCGTTTCTTCTTCTTTTTTTTTTTTTTTTTCCCCATCTTCTTCCTCTTCTCATATATATATAAATATATATATAAAGAAAAAGAAAAACACACATGTACATACATGCCTAGATATAGATAACCCCGCTTCCTTCACAGAAATACACACATGCATACACAAATATATAAATATATATATATATATTGTACCAATGTATGTATGAATGCATGTTGGTACACAGTTACATATACTTCTGTGTGTATTTCTGTGAAGGAAGGTGAATTCCCGTGGTTTCCGTTATTATTATTATTGTTATTATTATATCTTCTTCATCTTCTTCTTCACATGTCTCTTATTCTCTATTTCTCTCTCATCTCCTCTGGTATTTCTAGTAAATTTCTCTCTCAATTCCATTTTTTTTTTTTTCTTTTTCTTTTTTTCTCATGTAGTTTTAGTTTTCTCTCCGTATATATTTTTGCCCTACTCTTTGCTTTAATCCTCAGTTCACTGCTGGGTAGGTGAAGACAACCTCTGACCCCTCAAACGCCGCCAACTCATCGGCGAGGCGGTCCACAAGCGACATGTCGCCCCAGACATTTACAAGAAAAGTCACAGCCGTCAGGTCAAGCAGCCATTCCGCATCTAAAAATGTCACAGGCGTTCCCATTTCCAACGCGAGCGCCTGGGCATTTTCCAGCGAAGCAAAATCATGCGAGCGCAGCTCCATCTTTGTTTGCTTGTCAATGTCACGGGCGTGGCGCAAAAGTCTCGGACACTGCTGGATATCATCCTTACTGATGACACCGTCCGAATTCGCCATGGCGGAAAAGGTGGAAGGGACCCGCGTGGAGATGCAACTGACAAGACCCATATGCAGGCTTTTATTGTGCGGGTACTCCACAACCACCATCTCACCAACAGCAGTGCGGAAAGGTGCGACGAACCAAGCGCTGCCAAACCGAAAGTTCACAGAGGCGTACCGGACGAGAGGTAAAACAGGCGTGGGTTGCATCGCAAAAGCAATTGCTGGTGTTTGTGATAACGATATCGTGCGGCTGACCTCATCTGTGCCATTGTCCGATATCCCACCCCCACCTTCTGTGCACGTCATGCGCTCATTTACATCCATCATTTCAAGACTCTTTTGAGATGGGGATAAAGTGCTTTCCTCCATCTTTGAGGCGCTTTTAAAGAATTCAATGGCAGCCACACTGATGCCATCAGTCCGGACATCAAGCACCTGCGTGTTGTACGGGTTGTGCTGAATGCACCTCCGGGAGACTGCAGCGCTTACCATCGACATCACTGCCTGCCCTTTTAATTTTTATCTTTTGGTTTTAACTTATTTCTTCCCTCTTCGGTGGGTCTTATTCTTTGCTGTTGGCTAACTGATTTCGTCGCTGATGTAAAGACACAAAACAGGGCAAACAAAAACCCAAAAGAAGGGAAAGAAAAAAAAAAAAAAATGCATTCATGTGCGGTAAACAGCCGTCTTCTTTCCAATTTCTCTTCTTTTTTTTTTTTTCAGCGGCGTCAATTCCGACGTTCATCCCTCCCTCCTCCCATCCTTCATTTTTTCACTCGCTTTGCTTCATCATATACGGCTCCTCTTCAGTATTTGCACGGTTCCTGCCGCTCCTGTCATCCTCTCCTCCCGGGTCCTATGTGGATGTGTATATTGTCGCAGTGTCCCACAGCCGCACGACAGCATCCCGCACATCATCCACCCCAACACCGTAGCGGCTAAAATGATGAGTAAAGGCCCGGACAGACAACAGCTGCTCGGTTCGCTCCAGCGCTTTTGACAATCGCACCCCAATTTTGAAGGTGGGGCCAAAAAGCGACACGTGTGCCGCGTATCCACGATAACGTTTCTCATGTAAAAGAGCGATACCGGCATAAGAAGAGGAAGAAGTCACTTCTTGCAGCGCAGTAAGCCCTTCGCTACAGGCAGCAGAACCACGCAGGCTCCAAATAAACGGTCGCTGCTGCAGCACACCACCGGCGCAGCGGCCGGCAAATGGCGGAAAGAGTTCCGCGGATTTTCGAGCCGCATGGCGCATAACACTCCCCCACGATACTGAATTGTCATTCACCCCAACGCCGTCGCCGTTTTCGCCTCCTCCTCCTCCTCTGGAGGGAATAGCCGCATCATTGGGGAGAGAGACACCGGAGAAGAACTTCAGTGCTGGATCGAGAGCGACAGACTCTACGAGATCCGCTACCCTGCCGCGTCGCAGCATTCCCGCAATAGAGGTGTGAGAACAAACTTCTTCGGCCTCTTGTAGCGCTTGTGGACGCATAAAGCGATTGCGATTCATACTACTTGTTGCTGTCGATGCTGTCGTTGGGCGTCGTGTCACGCGGTATATATTCTGCGGGAGATGCATGTCCACCAGCAGACGACTTATTTCGTCATTTATACGTGCAAACGAGACCTCGCCACGGAAAACACCACTGAGGACTTTTTTATTTGCAAAGGCGGCATCACCAAAGTCATCGTTGTGCGCCATGAAAACGGCGTCGGCGGTGTCTCTGAGGGCACTCATTGCCATGACGCAGTTATACCACTGCGTCACCACCTCACCTGTAGAAAAGGGCCAAACAACAGAATGCAAAAGCAACGCACAGGGAAACTCCTCCCGTATGGCCTCTGCGACCAAACAACCAACCCCAGATCCTGTCCCACCGGCAATGCTGTGCACAACATGAAATGTGCCCACGGTTCCCGATGACTCGCTCTCGCGGCGAAGTGAGTCGAGAATCTCTTCTTTCCTGCTGCTGCCCTGTTGGAAGTAACCGCAGGCCCAATTATTGGCGCTCCCTTCATCGCGAGTAATGCACTGTCGCACATGCGGCCGGTATGCTCCTCCATTTTTGGTGTTTTTGAGGATCCCCTCAATCACTTTGGGCTCCATGTCAATCATCACACAACGCGGTAACGGAGGCATTGTGGCACCGTGACTAAACTCTCTACCACGCAACACTGGAGATGGTCGGAAGTGAAGAGAGGACACTTGCGCGGCAAACCCATCATCCTCATCGCTCGTGTATGCCTCAGCAACGAGATTGTCTAGAAATTGGGTTCCAAGTTGGTTTCCACACTGCCCGACGAGTACATGCACACACGCCATTCTCAATTCCCCCAATCCCAGCGGAGTGTATGCACGCAAGCGTAAACGAGAGACGCACGTGTACTTCGGCCCGTGTTGTGACAAACTTCCCCTCGTATTGCCTTGTAGTGAAAAGGGGAACAAACGACAGAACTTCAAAATAAAATGTAAAAAAAAAAGAAAAAAAAAAAAGAAAGTGGGATGTGAAAGAGGGTGAAAACAAAAAAAAACAAAGGAAATACACGCACACTCACATACATACATACATACATATATATATATATATATCTACTTAAATACATACATGGATACTTGGAAGAAGGAACATAAACATAGAGTTACACATACAGAGATGTATTCGCATGTATGCAAATAACATGTGATTACACGTGTATATTGATAGTAAATAAGTGGTAGCTAAAGGCATCCTCACGAATACATACACACATGTGTATGCATTTGTATACATCATGCATGTGGGATAGAGAAAAGCAGGTCACACACAAAACA